CTTGTTGAGCGGAGTGAAAATCTTGGTCGGCCTTTCATCGTTGAGAGCACAGAGAGCCCACGAGTGTCCGTCAATATTTGAAATCATCTGCAGGAGGAGAGAAAGACACAGTTTATTCTGACTCAGGGTTTCCACTGTTCACATCAGGCATCAGCATCAGCATCAGCAGCAGCATCAGCAGGAGCAACAACCCCTTAATTATTGCCCCCACTTGGCCTGCTTTATCAGTGAACGTCTGTACTTGTTAAAACCTTCAACTTTAACACCTCATGACATCTATATCTCTGCTGAAGTTGGCTTCATTTTGGTAATGGCGCTGTTGGCAGCGTCCAGCATTTTTGTCCCTCCTCGGTGGACAATCAAAATGAAACAGAGTCGAGCCGTGACAGGATTATTGTTTCTAAAACAGCGATGGACAGTAATGACGTCATGCAGTGTCAACATGATTGAACTGGACGTTTACATAACGAGTTTGGCTTAACAGCGTCGTCAGGCTATATCCAAAATGAAACCGACTTCAACAGAAGCAACTTCATATTTTAGAGCACACTCACACCTCGATAATGTCTTGAGGCAGAGATTCGCAGATTTTTGCGTAAATGCACTTAACCCAGTGTTCTCAAATAGTGGGGCGGGACCCCTAGAGGGCCCTGTGAGGGACTTCCAATGGAATATAGCACGCTAAAAGCCCCTGCTGTAACACTTGAATGATAACAAGCCTCCAGTCACTAGGTGGCAGTAACTCATACAGTGGTTTGTACAGATGAAAATATACATGTTGAACAAAAGGCTTCTATCGTTACTTTATTTTCAAAACATCCATCCATGTTTCCTGCTCTGCACCATGACCTTTACTGACCTGCGTCTCCATCAGGGGCTTCTTAAAGGGAAAGGAGTCGTGGTTGATGCACCACAGGATGTCACTGTCCTCTGACTCGGACGCAGCCATTAGTAAAACACCTGCAGGATGAAAAAAAAAAACACCATGATATTCTTGTCCAAACAGGTTCTGTTCACACGTACACACACTGAACTGAAGTCTAACGGACCTTTACTGTGCAGGGCCTTGTGGACCTTCGCTGGTTTCTGCAGGGTGGAAGACGCAGAAAACCCCGGTGGCAGACGAACATGAATTAACGCCAGCAGGCTGGGTCTAACTGCCACGTACTTCTGGTGTAGCGGGGCAAACGGTGTAGTGCTGAAGTAGAGACGTACTCCTACAGACACGTGTGTGTGTGTGTGTGTGTGTGGGGGGGAAACAAACACGCTTGTTGTTAATCAGAGTGTCGATAATGACTGAGACCCTCGTAACTGTGGAGTAGCCCCCACCTGCATGAGTGACAGCGAGCAGGTGACAGTCTGAAGACTCCGATCTGTCGATGACAGAGATCTGGACGATGGGCTTGAAGACAGAACGATCAATGGTCCTGCAGGAAGGAAAACACAGAGTTTTAAACAGTGGACATTTAACTTAAAAAATAAATAAAATAAAAATAAAAATTACAAACATGGCAATACCTGGCAATGTTTCCAGCAGCTGCAACGATCGAGTTCTGGGATAAAGTTGCAACGCGGCTCATTCCCTGTCCGTCAGTGCCCAGGTCATACACCTGTAGGTCACATGATGGCAATATTAGGTACGAAACATTGAAATAAAACAAGGCATATCTCAAGTACTGAGCGAAAATACTAACATTCTATTTTTTTTAATATATCTTTTATTCCTTGTAGAATTATCACTTTGGGTTATTTACAGTATTAACAACATCTATGACCACAGCAACAAAAACTGCATTTATGTCATGACAAAAACTAGGGATGTCTGATATTAACTTTTTGCCGATATTCAAAATGCCCATATAGTCCAAACACTAAATTTCCGATTTCAATTTCAACAGATACTGATATCGGCTTGGTAATATTTATTTATTTATCTGTACAAACCACTGTATGAGTATGACAATAATTCAATGAGCTGCAATGCTGCCACCTAGTGAATTTTACTTTAATATACTGCCCTTTATCCCCCAAAAAAGTTTAAGGCAGGTCATTTGGCGAAACCCAGGCATATGCTAATATCTGTCGATATGTTGGATCTGTTGGATATTCTTAACAAAAACGAAATAAAAATGATTTTTTTAATGAAAACTCAGACCTGCAGGACACCTTTCTCAGACCGTGTGAACAGTGTGTTGCGGGAGTTGTCTACAGCAATCTGTACAATGGGATCTGTTGAACAAACACACACACAAACGTTGACACGCAATGTTTAAATTAAATCAGAGTGTCGATAATGACTGAGACCCTCATAACTGTGGAGTAGCCCCCACCTGCATGAGTGACAGCGAGCAGGTGACAGTCTGAAGACTCCGATCTGTCGATGACAGAGATCTGGACGATGGGCTTGAAGACAGAACGATCAATGGTCCTGCAGGAAGGAAAACACAGAGTTTTAAACAGTGGACATTTAACTTAAAAAATAAATAAAATAAAAATAAAAATTACAAACATGGCAATACCTGGCAATGTTTCCAGCAGAATGAACGATCGAGTTCTGGGATAAAGTTGCAACGCGGCTCATTCCCTGTCCGTCAGTGCCCAGGTCATACACCTGTAGGTCACATGATGGCAATATTAGGTACGAAACATTGAAATAAAACAAGGCATATCTCAAGTACTGAGCGAAAATACTAACATTCTATTTTTTTTAATATATCTTTTATTCCTTGTAGAATTATCACTTTGGGTTATTTACAGTATTAACAACATCTATGACCACAGCAACAAAAACTGCATTTATGTCATGACAAAAACTAGGAATGTCTGATATTAACTTTTTGCTGATATTCAAAATGCCCATATTGTCCAAACACTAAATTTCCGATTTCAATTTCAACAGATACTGATATCGGCTTGGTAATATTTATTTATTTATCTGTACAAACCACTGTATGAGTATGACAATAATTCAATGAGCTGCAATGCTGCCACCTAGTGAATTTTACTTTAATATACTGCCCTTTATCCCCCAAAAAAGTTTAAGGCAGGTCATTTGGCGAAACCCAGGCATATGCTAATATCTGTCGACCAATATAATTGGATATTCTTAACAAAAACGAAATAATATGTTGGATCTGTTGGATATTCTTAACAAAAACGAAATAAAAATGATTTTTTTAATGAAAACTCAGACCTGCAGGACACCTTTCTCAGACCGTGTGAACAGTGTGTTGCGGGAGTTGTCTACAGCAATCTGTACAATGGGATCTGTTGAACAAACACACACACAAACGTTGACACGCGATGTTTAAATTACATCCACTACAAGTTTGAAAACGTTTTTTTCTTTCTCACCATCTTCAGAGAACGAGAACTGAAGCACGGAGGGGACGAGGAACGACAAGGAGCTTTTGGAGTGGTTGATTTTCCGGCAGCGCTGACTCAGCCAGCCAGCCTCGGCCTGGTAGGCTATCTCGTACAGGCACCCGTCCTTCCCTGCCATGAAGATGCGGCCCAGGTCTGTGGAGGTGATGGAGAGGATGTAGGTGTTGTCTGTGGGGATGGCGAAGAGAGGGTCCGGCAGCAGCTGCAGCCCACCGGACATGCTGTCGTTCAAACCTGAAGATGAGACCCAGAAACAGTCGCATATATGTGGTTAATATATGTTTTGTTTAAATACTATAAACACTGTTGTTTCATGAAATATTTATTCATAAATATATTTATTTTGCAGCTGCTACAGCAACACAGACAGGTTGTTTTACCATACGTTAGTACAAAAAACCTTAGCATCACATTTTTCTTTTTGAACCACGGTCCTAAAAATGTTTACAGTCACTTCTCAACCCTAATTTATTCGTAAACGTTACTATTTGTTACATTATTTTTTTATATATTTATACCTTCATATTTCACTATTCCCACAGTGTATAGTACATATTAGTATATTTTCTAGTGTTTCTGGAGAGAAATGTGACTTTTTTCTCTCTTCTGTTATTGAAGAGAACAATTTCAGTTGATGAGGTTCACAGACCATTTCAGTCAGTGATGGGATTTAACAGAGATTTGGTGTCAATTTGTCTGGAGCTCATTCTGTTAAAAGTATTAAAAATCCTCACCAGCCTGGCTTTTGGGAACGCTCAACCCAAGGATCACAACATCCACTGAGGTGGCCAGGACCAGTAGGTAGTGAATGTGTGGCTGTAAAATCCCTGAGGAACAAAAAAAATGATGACCAATCATACAGACACCTTGAATGAAAGAAGAAGAAGAAGAAATCACGACAACAAACGTCTTTTCATTCCCTGTTTGGGTTTCCCCAGACCCACTGCAAGAATGGTT